CTCGAGGGAGGGACGGTGGCGCCCAGAAGGAAGCTGGGCGGGAAGAGGCGGAGGAGCGGCTGCCGACGAAGCAAGGGAGGCGGCCGGGCTTGAGCCGAGGTGGGTGGCGGTGGCGGCGGCCTGAGGCCGTGCGAGCGGATAGCTAGGGGGTCCTCCGTGTCCCAGAGGCGCGGACCACAATCCCCATCATCCCCAGTCGCCGCCCACGTGCTCCTCGCGCGAGCACGTGGGCGGCGTTTGACGTTTCAGCTCGTTTCTAGCTCGTTTCTCTCCTCCTCAACCTTCACAACAGCCCTGCAGGGTCGGCCAGTCTCATTTTTCCAAAAAAAAAGAAAAAGGGTTTTCCTCTGTCCAAGCTACGAGGCAGCCCCGCCTTTGCGGGGAAAGGGGGGGACTCCCCTCCAGCAGAGGGGGCCGCGCCCGATACTGCTGGACTACAACACCCATAAGCCCCAGCCAGCCCAGTGAGGGAGGCCAAGCACACTGCCGCCCCTCCAGTATTTTAATTTACTTGTCGTTTCCCCCCCCCCGGATGACATTGTTACAAATCTTGATCTGTGGTACTGTTTTCATATAGGGATGTTTGTCTGTTTATATATGTTATGTATATAGAGATATAGGGATAAAATAAAATGGGGTTAGAGATGATTAACATTCTGTCATTTAGAAAGGTTAAGTATTGAAAATAGAGAAAGGAAAAGTAAAAAAAATGTCTGTCCATGGGAGTTACAATTTAAGATGTCAAAATTACAGGTGTAAAATAATTTGGCTTTTCATCCAAGTTAAGTATGACATTAAAAAAACTGCTGCCACTCACATCAAAGTATGGATTGTATAATAATAGCTTCTGTCTTAAACCAACTGCTTAATATTAAGACCTCTGTTGTGTTGTTATATATATATGTGTGTGTGTATCCACATTTATATATATAAAAATCAAATTTATGTGCCTGCCCATCTCACAAAAAGTGACTCTGGGCGGCGTACAACAGTCCAATAAAACATATAAACAATCGTTACATAAAACCATTATATAGTAATTATTAAAAAATTAAGACTATAAAAACAACACTAAAACAGAAAAGGAAAATTTAAGAGGTTTAAGGTTTTCTGTCTGCCCGCCATGTAGGTAATACTGCAAGCGCAAAAGAGTGCAGGTAGGAAGATCACGAAACCTCTTAGAATTGGGGCGTTAGGGTGCCAAACCAGGTGTACCCCAATAGGATGCCAACCTATTTTCATTGTAATGCTTACACTGGGAGAAACCTCTTTGCATTCTCCTGTGTGATCAAGTTAAATGCAAGTCTAAAAGCTCCATTTTTGTAACGTCTGGAGGGAATGGATATATGGAAAAGGGGACTGAACATTGTCTTGGAAAGGTTTGATTGATATTACATTGGAAATCTGGAATTAATTGTCCTCCAGGAAGATGGAGTTACTGACCCTGAGAGTAGCAGTCCTCCTTACATGATACACGTTACACAGCAATGGGGCTAGAGGCATGTTGATTAGTTTCATCATGCTTTGCTCCACAAAAAAGATAGGTAGAAAGTATCTTGCTGACAGCATGTGAAGCTGGATAATAACATAGACCCATGTATTGGAGGTTGGATTGGGGTCAACACAGCATCTGCCAAAAATAATTTTGAGGAAAAGGAATACATTACAAAACTATACATAAAAACTCATACCTTTTTACAGACCAGCATTAGTAGGAGCTGTAAATGAAAAATATTTCTCACAAGTCTGAAACATTTAAAAGGAAATGACATCTCTGTTTGTTTTTTACTAACAATACAGTGAGCTGTAGTTTTTGCAGAGGCAGCAGGTTCAGGTTTGACTGGAAACATTTTAATCCAACTTCTGGAAACCGAAGGAAGAAGTACAGTCAGGACCAGAAATATTGGAACAAGGATAACTGTTTTGGCATTTGGCCTCTG